GGACAAGTTTCCATTTTTTTTTTTAGTAAATCTTGAAAATATAAATAATAATAGACAAATAATCATGAAAATATCTCTACAATTACAAAAGTTACAGGGCCCTAAAGTTGCGCATAAAAATATTTGCGCCATTTTGATCGGTGTAGTCACGACAGTCATTCGGATTACAAACAGTAATCCGAATGACTCAGTCACCCCTGTGGGTCTAGACAAAGTGCACATTTTAATCGCAAACCAGTCGAAAAGCCTTTTTTTGTATGGAGTTTTGACGGATTCGATTTTCGATTCGATCAAAAACTGCACTTTATCTAGACCCACTGGTCCAGTGCTGTTGACAGATCCATTTTTAGGGTTCCGTACCTCAAAAGGAAAAAACGGAACCCTTATAGGATCACTTTGTTGTCCGTCCGTCCGTCTGTCAAGACCCTTTATCTCAAGAACGCGTGAACGTATCAAGCTGAAATTCACATGAAATACTCAGGTCTATTGTCCCTTTAAGCTGTGAAAATATCAAACTTCTAAGCCAAGCCAATCAAAAGATACAGCCGATTATGTCGATATTTTCAACAAATTTTCGACACTCGCAAAGGAATCAAAACCTACAGGATACTTCCCGTAAACTCAGAATCTTGAAATTTGGCATAAAGCANTATACCTACCTATTCGGTCTTTTCAGTAGTACGAAAGATAAATATTGTTTTGCAATTGTTTCGTCAAATACAGGAAATATTTGGAAAAAAAAAACTTATCAGGTCCTTACGACCCGATGTCGCACTAAAAGTAAACAAATATCGTTTAGTGCTTTTATCGTGTCTAATCGACCCGTTGACAGATGACTTTATGGTCACTGATCACGGTCGAGATCGGTATACTAAGAGGAAATCAACCTTGCGATTTGAAAAAAATAAACAGGTAAAAATTATGATGTCGGGTTCAGGGATGTCAGAAGTAAGAAATTATTTTACATAGCGCCTCTAGCCCAAACTAAGCAAAGCTTTTAATTTAAACAAACATGGCAATGTACCATTCTGCTTGCTTATTGGGCTTATTGGCCGCTAAGCCAACTCAGAGCCCCGATTACGGTAACTTTTAACGTCTACAATCCAGACGCGTTTCTGATTCTGCGATACGATTGGTCAAAACAGCTGACGTACGCTGTTGAACGACCAATAGTATCGCAGAATCGAGAAGCGTGTCTGGATTGTTGACGTTAAAAATTACCGTAATCGGGGCTCTGTAAGCAATGATGGATCATGGACGATTGTCACTCAACCACAAAGTACCGCGTAAATTAAAAGATATTTTTTAATTAAAAATATTAACCAATAACATTTTTTGTTAGATCAAAAATATATTTTAACGTTGTTATACATAGATCGAAATGTATTTATTAGGTGATCAATATTAAAAGGCAAACTTGATATAAAAATCATCAAATTAACAAAATTAAAGATCAATAACTAAAAAAGAGGATCAAATATTATTTTTGTTTACCAAATATTAAAAGAGTATGTTAAACATAAATATTATGTTACCTTTAATGAAGATCATTCATAATTTATCCGTAGATCAACTAATATAGACACAATAATTAATATAAAGATAAAATATAATAAAAAACATCATTTATTTTTAAAAGTGCACATACAAAAAAGATCAATTAGTTTTTAGAGGATCAAATAATATTGTCCCTAATTTAAATAATTAATTTGTCAGTCATTTCTTGATGGATTTTAAAAATAATTTCACCGGCTTTTTAGTTTTGGTCTATATTTTAATCCCATTCAGTGAATTCTAATGTTTTCAACATCACGAAACTTCTCCATTATTATTTTTGTTCAACACTATTATTATAAGCCGTGTGGTGACGGCAGAGCAGAATACATTTGTCACCAACCCCTACTCTTCCCGCGGGTGTCGTAAGAGGCGACTTAGGGACTACACATTAAACAGAGAATGGGCAGCAGCGCTCTCTGAAAAACATCAATCTTTTAAACTGCAATCTCCAACCCGCCTGCCTAGCGTGGAGATTATGGCAAAACCCTCCACTATAGTGGAGGAGGCTCATAGTCCAGCAGTGGACTGTAAAGGGCTGTTGATGATGATTGATGACTATTATTAGAGCCCCAAATAAATACATAATCTATTAACAATTCCTCTCGATACTCTTTTATAAAAATAAGTAATGACGGGTCGACTATGGTATTTGCAGATTAACCGACTAATCGGCAATGCCGATCATTCTAAACCTATTTGTAATGAACTAAGAATTAAGAATATCTAGATTTCGAGAGAACATCTTCCTGTCCTGCCTTTTTCCCCGAAAAAAAAAAACGTGCCCTATTTTTGTGTGGTTTAATCACTTAAATATTACATTTTAAAACACACATTTTTATATAAATATAACTTTATTTGTATGAATTTAGACTGATTGCTAAAATTTTAAATCAGGCAAATGCCCTTGGTCTACCTCATGTCATAATCATCTTGGTTATTATGGGTCTTATTTCATTTGTTTTGCGCCGATTATAATCGACATATTTTGCCGAATAGTCGTCGTCTAGTAACCGACTACAAACCATGCCGAATAGTTGGCTTTCCCGATTGTAGGTTCACTAGTCGGCCTATCTCTAAAAATAAGTCATGGTTTCGAAAGCTATAAAAGGACATAGGTACCCAGATAAATGTGCAGTAATTTGTCATCCGTGTTTGTAAACATGAGAAATATGGATGCAACAGTTTAATAAAAATATTTTAATTGTTTTTATAAAAACAAACTAAATGTAAATACGACGACGAATATAATAACACACGTGCTTTAAATAACTTAAAAATAATTGACATTAATTTAGCCAAAAGGCTATGATATTGTATTAATAGCATATTCTTCCAAAAATCTTCTTATCTACCCAACTTAAATTTATTAACATTACAGGAACTTTCCTGATCTTGGTCAACATTATCCTCATTTTCCTAGTCAAGTGAAAGTTAATCATGATTTACAGGCGTGAACAAAACGCAAGTTTATATTTTCTCCTCATGCAATCACAAATATTAATCTTTTTGAATTCTTTATTCTACGCAAAATATTGCTTCGCTTTTATGCGATTAATAGCATTTTTATGACACGCGTCAAATAAAATATTTATTTGTTGTCTTACAACAGTCGTCATCATTAGTAATTGGCCTCTGATAACATGGTTCGCAACGGTCACTAATTGGCAATTTGACAAAGTCAAAAGTTGGCACACTGATAATGTGTTAAGTATGGCCACGTACGTACAGTGTTACAATAAAACAACAAACAAAGCCAATTCAATGAAAATTTCAGATACTTTGTTCTATATTTGGGTATTTGGATGCATGCGGGATATTTAAAAAAAAATATATTTCATATCAATTGACACATTATTTAGTGAATGCGACAAAAAATAATTGCATTGTCCATCTGATAACAATCTTTAGATTCTTAGATACAACGAAAATGTTTATTTTTGGATATAGTTAAGATAAGCCAATAGCAACTGGACAATGAGTTCTGTATAGACAATCGTTAATTCATATTGTTATATTAGTAGTCAGATTGTTAAAAATGTGTAATACAAGTCAACAATTCACAATATGTGCAAATATTAGAAATATTAGTTTGATTCATAACTACCTATGTATCTCGTACCTAAGCTCTGAGAACATTTTAGCAAAAGTGTTTTTCGGGCTTCCTTTGTTTTTGTTCCCAAAGCAAGTGTTTGGTCGACCCCGACGCATTTCCTCGAAATATGTACCTATACGTTACATTGTAATTATTTCGCCTAACGGGATGTTTGATTATGCAAAACTGATGAAATGGTAAACTTTCAATCATGCTATTCCCGATCCATAAAATGTATCAAACTTGTTTGCGTTTGCATTTGCTGAAACGTTCTACTTACTGACCGCTGATGTGTACTCGTAACTATGTTCATGCAATGAACTGAAAAGTACTTATCGTAAGTACTTAGATTAATTGTATTTTTTTACTTCTTTGTATTTTAAGTAATATTAACGAAATAATGATATAAAAAATAATATATTTTTAAAACAAGTCCAAAATGAACATGAATCTAATTTAGGTCAAAGAATGTTTACTCGTAGTGTTCATCAATTTATTTGCTAAAATGTTTATCACATTATTATCTATACTTCAAAAACTGCGAAGTGTTTTCAGAAAAGTGTTAAAATCTCTGTATTTAATCTTCGACCGTCCGAGCAATAAACGAGCATTGTTATATTGGTAACATGAGTGGTAAACCATTAATTTCGAGGGTACGGCGCAGTTTGCTCTATGTTACTTCTTTACTACTCGTAGATATTCTCTATACAGCAGTTTAAAATATTATCTACTTACTCGGCTCCTTAATAAATAAAGTGGTAATATTTCCTGAAAACAGCATCAACTTGCAGATTAATGGTCTTGTTCTTCGCCTTTAGTCTTAGTTGAGAAAACCATTTAAGCAATATTGCACAATACGACAATTACCATCCATTATAACTGTTATTGATTCAATGCTTCCTTCAGAACTGAGCAGATCCTGTTGTTAGCTATTGTTTTGCTTTATATAGGACGAATCTATTATCAAAATCGAATGCTGCGACACGATTCCATTGCTCTACATCGTCTCTTACCCTATATGGACAGTATGTAGATAGATATGACTCTTTACTGAATACACCACAATAAAACTACCAAGTACAAGAAAAACAAAAGTTGGAGCAACGCAATTAACACAAAGTTTACGGAAAAGCTACTTCTTCCAGAAAATGTTGTTCGAAATAAAGTGATGACAAATTATCTTACAATTAGTAAAAGTGAAGCAGGATTGTAATAAAGACATNTTAATTTAACACATGTACGACTGTACTCAGTGTTGCACTATCAAATGCAATTGAAGCGCCTCTATGCCAGGGTTTTTATGTTCCTGGTCAGGCTATAATTGGATGCTAAAGTTTTGTTTTTCTTACAGAGACAACCCACGCGAAATCCGCAATAAAGCCGAGAAGCAACGGCGAGACAAGCTTAATCAGTCCATTGGGGAGTTGGCTTCCATGGTGCCACCCGTCGTGGCCGCTAGCAGGAAAATCGACAAGACCGGCGTCCTGCGTTTGACTGCACACTACTTACGAGCGCATCAATATGGTAAGTGGTTAACAACCCGCATTAAGACTCGACGTAAAACCCTCCCAGTCAAACCCTGGATTACACCCGGCGTTGTTCGTTGCATCCGTAATAGAGATAAAATGCACCAGCGAGTGAAGAAATTNTTGTATATTGTATCCTGTATTTTTGTGTGAGAAATAAATAAATCTTATTATTATTATTATTAACTCAGAGCCAAAGCATGCGATGCGTTGCGGCGCCAGTGCGACGCCGGAGCGGTGTTGCTGCGTCGCCCGCGGTGCGGCGCTGCGCACCGCGCGATACGACGAAATCTCTGCTATACGGCGCCGCAATGCATCGTGTGCTTTGGCTCTTATGTTAGGTTCCTCTTTTATCGTGACCGTTTACTGCAGAAGGGATACGGTCAAGAAAATACCTAAGGTATCGAATAACCAGTTTTAATAAAATACTGACCTATAAGCTGACCCAAGCTTCAATTTTAGTAAGAAAAAGTTAGCTTAAACTCTGATTTTTAATTCGACGGAATTTTGACATTTCATAAGTGTTGTCAACATTGAAACATTCCCACTAAGAATGGAGAGCATTTTCACAAATTAAAAAATAATCCTTTCTTGAATTTAAGATTTCACTTGAAAATCTAAGGTTTAAAAATGTACTGATCATTTCAAAATGGTTATTTGAATTTTTATTATCATATTTTGGAAGTTACAAAAAAAATTGGGAAATTATTTTTCTATTACTGGACTCCCTGGCCAATAATCCATGGGTTACAAACCTTTTTTATGAAAATCCTTTTGTTAATAAAATCTTAGCTTCATAAAATAATCAATTTAACAAGATGCCAATTTTATAATCCAAGTTGATTATGATGACGACAATGATGATTGATGATCAATACATATTTTCGTTTATGTTAATATGTTGTTTTACTGTGTTAAAAACACGTTTTTTTCTATTTAATCTCTAAAATGTACATAATAATTAGTGTACATTGAATTCACAATACAAACAATAGTTCTTTCTTGTAAGTTGTACTTGATGAAATTTCATTTCATATTATTTATTAATTATTAATTCAAAGCAAAAAAGGCTTATTACATCTGAATTGTCAAAAAATGACAGCTGTCAGAATTCCGTCGAATTAAAAATCGGACTATAGATACTTATTTCATACTTAACATAAATGTAAAAATCCCAATTAAACAATCATAAAAATACAAGCCCTGAATGATGATTATATAGCGCACCATCGCATCACAAAAGACAACAAAACTGCTGATCATGACCGTAATATTTCCCTAGTAAAATAAATTCGACCTACTAAACAATATAAATTTATTGGAAATTATACCAATCAGTAACAAACCACTAGTGGTTTAATTGGCTAATTGAAATTGATGTTATGGCTATAACATTATCTTCTGAATGTGACATGGTGAAATTAATTTGGCCGCGCGGCAGTGACTATCGATCTCTTTGATATTCAAACAGATAGCTCAATTAACCAAATTGATTGTTTGACGAACATGCTTCTCTGGTATTGATAAATAATAGCTAAACTTATTTAACATTTTTTACCAATTATAAATGATGATTCAAATCCATTGCTAAAAGTTTTCAGTGGTTCTATCTAACTAAGACTTTTCTATAATAGTTTTCAATCATTATTAATATCGTCGTTCGTTAAAAATAATAGTGTCATCGAGGTCGTCCCAAACTTAATAAAATAATCACGCTTTTGGTGATATCTTATAGTAAGACGCAATACAGCACGTAAGCTTTATTCAACGTGTGATCTAGATCATACCTACGTTTCACGAGTAATTTTCTAGTTTCGCTACATTCCAATGTGTTAGTAATTGTTATGTGTTGGAATGCAAACTCCACCCATACAAATTAAGTGAGGACTATGCGACTAAATCGAAAGCCAGGCGACAAGTACGAGCATGGTAGCGTTCAAGCGATTACACCTTTGGCAGGGTCAGTCCTACATAATATGCTAGTGCGCACTACCTAGCTCTAAAGAACGAGTAGATTATAATGAAAGCAACAATAATCAGTTAAACTTAAATTATTGATATAAATGCAAGTGAGATATCGCCTAAGACAATACACGGGGATTTTGGAGTCCACTATCAATATATTATGAAAACACAGCGTGTTTCAAAGAATAAAGTAAATTATTCTTAGGGGTGACCAAGGATGCAAATAATGCAATGCATTAAAATCATTATTTGAAGTCAGATAATATCGCTATGTAATAAAAACTTTTAGTGTTGATTTATTTGTGATAACACCTTTCAAATCAGTAGGTATTTAGTGATGCGAGACTCTTTTTCCATGTTTGTAATTTAGATAGATTAAGCTAATCCCTCAAACATGCGTTTTCAGACTTATAAAGTAATAATATGACGGGAAGTACTTAACGAGTTCATGTATGAATTTAATTCCTTCGTAACTTTCACCCACTTTCCAAACAGCCTGTAAAGAATATACAGTATCAAACATTATACATAACTAATAATATCAACAAGTAAATAGATATTAATGCTACTATATTCCTAAATCAAATAAAATCATTAGTTAACATTCAACTTCATAAAAACTTACGCCCATCCAACCAGTTCTTATTGACTGCACCTTTTATAATAAAAGTTTTCAAATAAATGCCTCTACAAATTCAATATCAATCTTCACTCTATCAGTGCCCACTAGAAGTTTAGAAAAGCAATAACATGAAAAATACTCGAAAATGTATGAAACATTTGGTGGAATTGTACGTTTTGTCGGTATACCTACTTAAGTACAATTAGCTTTTAAAACAAAATACCTACCTACTGTAAAGGTCAAATTTATAATTTCCAAGAAGTCTTTTATTTAGGCGGTGTGTGTGTTAGTTTCAAAGTGCTGGGAGATTGATGCCTGTTTTCACTATCAATCCCTAATTTTTCAGTGTCCCCCTATGTAAACAAAATTCCTGTACTTAAAAATTAGGGATTGATGGCGAAAACGGGCATGAGATACTTATATGCATATAGATCTTACTATATGCGCAACGATTTTATTATTCCACCCTAAGGGGGTAAAACGGGATCCACGCGTACGAAGTCGCGAAAACATAAAGTAAAAATTACGATTTGATTTAACAATAAAATCTTAACAAACGTCCGCGCACTGTACTTTTTTTTGGGGTAGGATGTTTATCTAACTGAACTATGTATTGAATGGCAACAAAACGTTATATGAACCTTTGCCTAGTTACATTGTAATTTCTAAATTCGATAATTTATTTAGTAACATGTGAAAATTGTTAATAAGGTAACAGATGTGTTATTTAACACATTATGTAGCGAGCAGTTTATAATTTGGAAACTGAAACTAAATGCATTAGTAGGTAGTTTGTACGTTTATACAATGTCAATATTAATAACAAATTATTACTATACCTAATATTTAGTAAACGTACATTTATAAACGTACCTAAGTACTTACGTCTTGTTTTTTGGTTGTGGAACATAATCCATCTTTAGTGAACGGACCTGTAGCATAATCAGAATACCTGTTAAGTATGGATAGCAAGTGATTTATAAATAATATTGATCGACTAAACACAGGCACCTGAGTAGATACTTTTATGTTTGTCTCATAAGTACTAATGTTTATTCCGCACTGAGAGCGCGGTGACTCACTGAATTAGAATATTAATTTACTGGTGAGGTAAAAAAACAGGCGACATTGTTCTAGAATAAGTATGATGCATTTACGACTTATAATATTTTGCTAATTACGATTCAATTAGTTCTTTTTGCATTTTTAATCTAAAATACGGATTTTGATAAATCCGACTTTAAAGGCTGAGTTGCACCACCTTATATATGAATAAAAAACGACGTCGTTTTTTTATCCACAACGAGGAAGCTCTTGGCTTTTATCTCACCTGATGGTAATAAGTGATGATCAGGCCGAAGGTGGAAACGAGCTTCACCCGGAATCCTCAACCACAAAGGAACTTTAATAAATGTTGATGATTTAGTAATAATTATTATGTGTGGTACCTTTTTACCGATCTCCTGTACATTCCGCAAGTGATTTGATTGTATTTATTGAGTCACAAGATTATATGAAATAATAGATAAACTTTGTGAAGACAGAATTGAAAGCTATTTTCATGTATATTGGCACGGTGCCGTCTCCTGATCCCCAGGCTATGGCGAGCTTGTTTCCCGAATGATAGCCTTACTAAACAAACGTAGACCGATCCGCAGTTCGATTTTGCTCTAAATCAACAAGAAATAATTTAGTTCGCATGGATTCGTGTTTACTTATAATAATATAGCGATTATTATTATTGGTTCTCTAACAAGTTAATTGTCAAACATGCCGTTTATGAAATCTTTATTTAAAAAAATCATTCGAAGTCAGGATATTTTTTAAATTAAGTATTTCTGTTTTACACTATGGGTCAATAAAAAAAAACAAATAGTAGTACAGCAAGGAAGTAAAATTAATGGATAATAAATTGAAACCCTGCTGAGTTTGCAAAAATAAAAATTTAAGACGGCAAACAAGACTTAGTAGGTGCTTAGTTATTTATGTTGGGGTCAGTACCCAGACAATTTTTTTCTGTCTGTTATAATAACCCTATGGCTCATCCGTTGGCGCAATATGTTTTGTAAAAGGCTCTGCATAAAAAAGGAATATTGATAAAATTAGGAGCAAGAGAACCCCGTTTAGTCATTGCACCGCGCTTCGTCACACGGACGCGCCCAATAAAACTGGTGCAAAGTGCAAATCTATTCCTAGCGTCCGCTCACACATTCTTGCAATCCAGCACACAACGGACTCTTTATAACTAATTTCTTGTTAACCTTTTCTTAATTTAGAAAATTGAGATCTTAGCTCTAACAAATCAATTGTTTTATTTCATCTCCAAGTGTCTTATACCAAGGCCATTGAAGTATCTCCGTAAAAGCATTTACAATTACCCACCTACCCAGTTGTTGACATAAACTAATTTAAAGTACTGGCAAAATGTATGCAAGACATGACGCTTGCTGATCGTCAAGCGAAGTTTGCCTCAACCTCACATGTGATTGCAGCAGTAATGGTTCATTAATTTACTTATTAGTAGGTAATGTCGGGTAAATATTTTTAAATACGTATAAACTAGTATGTGCATAAGTGTGTTTACAGTTGTCTATCACTGTTGAATGCAATCGTGCAAAGTAACGTGAGCTGAAACCATAGCACGTGCTCGCACATGCTTTTTGTGTTTAGGGTATAGACACACCACATTATATGAATGTTTGCTAGCGTAGCGACTCACTAACTTTCTTCGAAACAATGTTGCGTACGAAGCCAAGCCGCTAGTATCGCTGTGTGACGGTGCCCTAACATTAGTCGGCAAGTGTGTACGTATAGTTGTATATATTGTTGCGTATCGTTTTACATACATATCATAAATTCTCACGTCGATACTATAATGCAGCTAACGCGTCAAGAAAATATAATACAAGCATTTGCCTTCCAATTACACTCATGTGACCAGCTAAACATTGCAATTTTTGTGCGTGACAAAAACTCGACACAAATGCATTCAGTAGGGCTACTACTTATCAAGAAAATACAATGTAAGTAGGTAGATAAACATCACATGTATAGAACTACATACTTTGAAATTATTAAATATCAAAATTATAATATTCTTATGTGATTTCTATAGCTATACTATTGTTGTAAGTTTAGATCTGAAAAATAATGAACATTAACAATTTCATAATATAAGCACGCGCCGCGCCGTTAAATGCGCCTTCTCTGATAGTTCTCTACTGTAAGTAAGACTTCTGTTTTCTAAACACAAATTATGGCGGGCAGCGTAGTGATTCGGACTATTAAATTATCTGGCTTTAAGCCAACAAAGGTATAAATTGACAGCAAATTAATACTTGCAAACAAAGAGTTAATTAGGTCACAAAATGGCAACATTGAGTTCATCCCGGAACATAAATTGAGGTTGCTTGAATTAGAGGCATAACTTAATGGAAATAACAACAAAAAAGTTTTTGGAAAACTTCCATATTATAGTTTACACCTCAGGATTGAAAATGTAGAGCTGCATATTTAATGCTGATATTGCATATCAGGTTTATTTGTTGACGTTACGTTCTTAGTTATGCGAAAATGAGTAGGTGTCTGAGCTCGTTACTATTATTAATTGTGAATATGAAATTACAAGGCGACTAGAAATTGGATCTATTCCTTAAAAGAGTAATTAATTGTATGGAATTTTATGATCAATCAAATAGGTGTTAAAGATTAACATTAATCTTTTATTCTTTTACTGTGTACTCGTTTATTTATGGGCCGATTTGGAATCGTCAGATATTTTTAGCTTTCGACATGTTTGCTATGGAAAAACTGTCCTTACACTTATTTTAGAAAGAAAGAAAGAAAAGTATTTATTCGATGCAAGTACAAAATAAAATAACAAATAGATTTTGCGAAAATGCTACCTGGAGATTGAAAAATTGGAACCAAACTAAAATCGGGTTTCCTGTGGCAATATTTTTTTGAACAATAATATCTAACACGGCACGTGGCGATCACGCTACGCCTCACATTGCACCCTCCGTTTTTCACCGGTCGAAAGATTTATTTTTTCTGATTTTTTTTTTGATTCAATAATCTTGTCTTTTTATACCTACCCAGAATCCATCCATTCTGTTTATTATGTAATTTCCTAATAATAATATAATATTGTTCTCACAGTGTGATAAATTAAGACCTTGCAGCGATCTGAAATAATTATTTATGTCGCCCTAAGATAAAATTAATTTTCAAAATGAGCTAAGTGAACATTGTTACAGACGACTATGGATGGACCCTGGTCTGACAATGAACTATTTCATTCATTCATTCAAAATGTGTTGGATTAAATTGTATACTATTTCTAACAGTGTTTGGCGACTCGATCGGGAACGATGAACCGCAGTTCAGCGCTATGTCTACGCGAGCGCTCCTCACGCTACTCAATGGATTCCTTCTCACCACCACGTACCGCGGTCTCATCGTGGTTGTCTCGCAAAACGTTCAGAAATATTTGGGATACTCAGAGGTAAGATAATAAGTTCTTCAAGATTCATGATAGCAGTCTAGTAACTAGTTTATCTGAATTGACTATAACTATTTTTCTATTATTTTTATCGAATTATTGCAACTTTTCACAACGTTAAATGGCATTTTATATTACTTTATTTTTGTGGCATATTACAGTATACACAGTACAGTTTTAACCGACACACATACCTAGTAGAAATATAATAGAATAATAAATTAAATGTATGTAACAAAATTAAATAATATCACCAACAGCAAAGATACTGGTAAAATGTGAATTCACTAACAAGTCCTCATAGTAATTTAGTCAGAATAAAATGCGCTTAAACCAGACATAGAATTGTGTGGAAGGACCGGTAGTTGCCTCAGCGCAATAGCGTATGAGATTCTTTGTTCAGTATTAGTAAAAGGATTATCGCCAATTAAAGACCGGTTTACAAATACAATAGTATGAGCTGGTACTATGTTTCCCCATCCGGATTAAGTCATATCCAGTGACTTTTTCATTTTAAGTAGTGTTCAATGATAATGAAAATTTTAATAATGAAGGAAATGGCATTTATAACATTGGCCCTGGAAGTCCTGGAACATCTTTCAGTATTTTTCACTGTGTCTTATAAGTATTTGACACATTTTTCACGTTTGTTAAAGTTAAAGTACGATGGTGCAACTCAGCCTTAGTTAACTGTCAGCATCTAAAATAGAAGTTTAGCTGATAGACATTTCTAAGCAACCAGTAAGTAATGAAACTGGTTCTAAATAGTACCATTTCTATCTAGCTCGACCTCTTGGGACAAAGTGTGTTTAACGTGATCCACGAAGACGACCGCCAACTGATGCGCGACCAGCTCATGCCGAAGAAGCACATGCTGGGGCCGAATGGAGAACTACTGGTGCCAGAGGAGCCGGAAGGCAAGAAGAAGGTGGCCGACGAGCTGGCTAACGAGAAAAGGAGGTTCATCATCAGGTATGGATCGTAAATCTTTCAATTTTTTAAAACATGTATTTAACTGCGCTCACACATATTTTAAGTGAGATACAGTCTAGGATAGTATCAAATAGTTCGTGACATCTAAAGTGAACAAGTTGGGGGTAACACGAACGATTTGTGACTGTGGTACTTAGGTACATACATAACATATTTATTCAGTGGCCAGCTTTTTCGGATGACAATCTTTTTGGAGATAATATTCGTTTCGCATAGAACCTGCTAGAGTGGAGGCTGCACTAAGAAAATTAGAACACTGGCGAATATTCCAGCGCTGAATTAGCCCCATACTCCAAGTTTACCTAACCACTAAAACTTTAGAAATTCCTTGAGAGAAAGAGCGGCATGATGCGGATGCGGTGTGATTTTCCACTACCGGAAAATTATCTCGTCGCATGGGATGTTATAGATTAATGTCATAGCTGGAAATTTTTAGTTATTTTAATTAAACAATCTAACTTCTGTATCAATGACGACACTCAGGCACACAATTCTATTTTGTGACTCAGGCTTGAATAGAGTTTGTTCCGAACGAAGCACGGAACAGAATATGTACTTGTAGTCCAGTAGAATTAGCTTTTAAATCGGAAATAATTCCTACAAAAGATTTTATTGCTTTAATGGCTTCATTGGTTGCCCATTAAGACTCTCCTAAGTTTTCGACTTCGACGGAGTTGTGCTTAAGTGGTGGGGGCCCCCGAAAGGGGCGCTTTTTCGGTTTTCCAGTTATACCGCGTAAAGGACTTACCCTATCGAAAAAAGGTCTTCCTGATGGTTGAAGGGCATTTAATTCTGCATTAAATAAGACCAAATTCATATGTTTTGAACAAACCGTTCTCGTGCAAATGTTCGGCAAAGTAGAAAATATGTGTATAATTAATGACCCTCTCCACGTCCAATGGCTCGTTACCCGCAGGCTTCCAAGTCTTGAAAAGGAGCGCCTCAACCAGTGTAACCCTATCAAGGCATACGAGCTGGATTCGCCGATCCTTGTTCGTCCCAGCCGTTCCTTAACTGCGGTTGCTGCACCTCTTCCTGGCACTGACCTGAACGTGTGTTACCTACTGTGGCTGCCCCTCTTCCTTATATCCTCCTGCACGACTACGTTGCCTAGCCATATGCCTGGTCTAAGGTTTGACGCCAAATATCAACAACAACAACTTCATATTAAAACGCTGAAGAGTTTTTTGATTGTTTGTTTGAACGCGCTAATCTCAAGAATTACTAGTTTGATTGAAATAATATTTTTTGTGTTGAATATCCTCATAAATTGAGGAAGGCTATAGGTTATATACAATCACTCTACGACTAATAGAGCCGAAGCAGTAAAGAAAAATGTTGCAAGCACGGAAAATAGTATTTTAACTATTTTCACGCGTGCGAAGTTGATTTTGTGGCGTCGAACCTTGGACCAGGCATACGGCTAGGCAACGTAGTCGTGCAGGAGGCTGCAAGGAAGAGGGACAGCCACAGTAGGTAACACAGGGTCGTTCAGGAGAGTGCAAGGAAGAGGTGCACCAACCGCAGTTAAGGAACGGCTGGGACGCACAAGGATAGGCGCATCAAGCTCGTAAGCCTTGATAGGGTTACACTGGTTGAGGTGGCCCTTTTCAAGACTTGGAAGCCTGTGGGTAATAAGCCATTGGACGTGGAGAGGGTCATTAATTATACGTATATTTTCTACTTTTCCGAACTTTAGCGCGGGAACGGTTTGTCCAAAACATTTGAATTTGGTCTTATTCAATGCAGGATTAAGTGCCCTTCAACCGTCATGGAGACCACTTTTCGATAGGGTAAGTCCTTTACGCGGTATAACCGGAAAACCGAAAAAACGCCCCTTTCGGGGGCCCCCACCACTTAAGCACAACTCCGTCGAAGTCGAAAACTTAGGAGAGTCTTAATGGGCAACCAATGAAGCCATTAAAGCAAAAAAATCTTTTGTAGGAATTATTTCCGATTTAATCAATTTTTGTGTTTAATTCTACTGGCCTATTGACTTTAAATCAGCTTAGAGCATCGCTTCATTTTATTACATGGCCCAACTACACAACTCTTTTCCACGGTGACAACCCGTATTTTTAATACCTATCACTCCCCAAACTGCACAGCATTGATTGCATAAGCTAAACGATTGCAATTTTATTGCAGATGCTTTACAATATAATGTTGCACCCATAGATTCAAGAAGCTAAGCCAGCGCTCGGAGCCGTGCCAGTACGTGACGTGCCATGTCGAGGGCTCGCTGCGCAAGTCGGACCGCGCATGCCGCGGGTACAACCGCTGCTGCCAGATGGTGCGACGCGCCCGCGCGCGCGGCGACAATCCATGCTCAAGCGGCAATGATATCGTGAGCTTTTATAATATTTCATGTAAATAAACCCATCAAAACCTATGCGCCAGCATACGATGCGGTGCGACGTCGTGCCGCATCGTGTGCTTTGGATCGAAGCAAACTCATGAGACCGCGCTAATACTTGATGATTGATTTCTATTGTGACTCGATTCGCGGGTACTTGAAGGGTAAAAAGTGGTTTTACGATACAGATGTATATTTTGTGCACTTAAATTCAACATAACCCTGATGGGTTTAGATTGGTATACCTACTTTTTGCAACATCAACAGTCACTTGGTAGTCTATTTACTTGATTGATTTATTACGAATATTTATTTATTTTAAAAGCAACTGATAGTGTTTAATAATTGAAAGCTTATTTCGACCACAATGTATTACAATTGCACCCGGAATCCTCAACCACAAACTGATTGGGATTTTAAAACCGAGGAACTACCCAAATGGAATCGTGGACATTTCACATTGCTAATGGCCATAAAGTAGGTACCTATACCCAAGAAATACCTTCTGATACCATACTGGCTACAAAACAGACTAAACTTGAGGAAACCGCATTTTTGAACGTCTGATTGTTCCTAAATCACTGAGTGCCGGTTTATGTACACGCAAAGCTTAACGGGAGTGAAACTGGTCGTAGTGGACCAAATGAAACGTATGACATATTAAAGCGTTAAGGGGATGCTGTTTTCTGCGCTAGCGTTTGTTATCTGGGGGCACGGCAGTGCCCCCACCAAGTCGAGCAAGAAAGCGGCACGGCCGTACCATCCTTTTCTCGAAGCAATTCAGGCCATTTTCGACCGCCTGTAACTTCGTTGTGGATAAAACTAGAAGGCTGAATTTTCATTAGCTATGCAGGCATTGTAAAGACACGGTATATTTAAAATTTCATTCAATTTGAACCAGTAGTTTAAGAATTATAACGGGTCAAAGTTACTTCATTTTGTCACTCACTGACTCATCGATCATCAAAATTCTAAGGCACTTCTAGCAGACCTAGAAGCTTCAAATTTAGAATATAAGTAGTGTTTGGTGTATGAATCAAGGAAAAACTAAAATATTTGGGGGCACGGTAGTGCAACCGCCAAGTCGAGTAAAATTTTTCAATTTCGGTCCAGTTTTCTAGATACATAACTGCTGTCTACAAAATACAAAAAGAAATGAGATCCCATCAAAAACAATACTTGTCAAAAAAACCAAGTCTCGCAACTCAGTTGTTCTACGGTAAAAAGTTGTGAGATCCATGTAATACCAAGTCCAGGCCAGGAAATCTTTAACGTTTTACATAAATATATTGACTTGGCCATCGCATGAAAACACGTGTAAATTAAATTATTTAGTGCGATGGCCAAGTCAATAATTTATGTAAAACGTTAAAGATTTCCTGGCCTGGACTTGGTATTACATGGATCTCACAACTTTTTACCGTAGAACAACTGAGTTGCGAGACTTGGTTTTTTTGACAAGTATTGTTTTTGATGGGTCAGCTTTACAGGTCAGGCTTTTACGCTAATGTCACGCTACTGCTTGGGCGTTCACTGCAAGGCGCGCCAAGACGATCGTCAAATTATGTCAGTTTTTGGGAGTGTACTTTTGTAAAAGGGGTTTTTAAGGATAAAAAATCTCAGAACTTTAATTTTTACCTCAGACTGTCATTCAATATTATCTTTAGTACCTACTATAGAATATTATTATGTCTTTTTGTAATAATCACAAAGTAAATGATCACAAATGGGCGTGGTAACAAACTTCTCGTCTTGTTTTGACCTCCGTGCTAAGTTACGCGTGTTCATGAACGTGGTCTAAATCAAAATTTGCATTCTTACACTTGTTTCTTCAATGCGAGGTCAAACGGGTGCTCGGAGTAGTTGAGGACGAATTGATCGGTTTGTTATTATTGATGAACGGCATGTTTTTCATTTTAAAATGTTATTTGTTTATCCACAGTGTTCAAGCCTTTATTGTGTCACATGGATCCTGTTGCGCTGAATATTAATGTTTGTTTAGAGTCCTGCATGCGCTCAGTTGCGATCATAATTGACTGACCTCGTTCCTCGTGCATTACCCATAAGACAAATATGTCATATTAATACAGAAGCCTTTAGAGAGCCTATTTACCGTATCTTTCTCTTAGTATGACCTAGAAGTCGTCATTATTCTTTGCCGTACCTGTCCCCATTGTTTTATCCTGCGGCACATACCTACTTAATTATCAAATGGCTAGCCATCTCAATCATATCACGACCGTCTAAGTGATTGTGGAAACGTAAATTGTATCTACACGCAATCCCTGAAGTAGTTAAGAGTACATTAGTTTAATTGTTTTTCTCAGGTGTTTGTAGGTGTCGTGCGAGTGGCGACAGAGTCTTTCATCAAGGAGAGTAACATGGAGGCTCATCGCATGGAGTACCGCACACGGCACTCCATCGACGGACAGATCATTCAGACGGAACAGCGCATCTCACTTGTCACTGGATACATGACACACGAGGTCAAAGGAATCAACGCCATGAACTTCATGCATCGCGATGACGTCCGATGGGTGGTGATTGCACTCAGAGAAAGTAAGTTTTCATACATTTTAAAGTGTGGATTTAGCATTATGTAGGTATGTTTGAGGCAACACAAGGCGAGCGCGGCACGTCGATGAGAGGGCACGCAGAATATTGTGCCAGGTATTAAGTCTACATAAGTACGTGCTCTGTTATATAGGTATTAGCTTTTGCTGCGGCTTCACCCACGTGAATCTTCGGATTTAAAAAACCGGGATAAAAATTGTCCTCTACAAAACTTTCATCCCTAGGTCTAAAACTCTTAATGCCAAACTTTCATCTAAAGCAGAGCGTCAAAACAGACATATTATAATATGGATAATACCTACCTATATGGATTATAAAAATATTTTTATTCAAAAAGTTGCTTTCATCGACAAAATTGAAGGTAAAGAATCAACAATGCATGATAGAGAACACCTTTTTTTATTTTGATTCCTTTTCTGCATATTACTGGCACATGTTAAATCCTGTGTCGCGCAGATCGCGTGGAAAGTCCTCTGAAGTATTCAAAGTAGATACAACCTTTCACATACCTCGATATTACGCAGATGCCTTCCCGTGTTAAGTCGCAAAAGCTCTTCCTCGTGCAAATTTCTGCATAAACTCGCTGTGGTAAGTATCTAGTACAGATGTTTCGAATGTTTTACATGGGATAGAATCTTTGGCTGGTATGCAAATATGAAAAATAGTTTTTACCAAGTTATGAAACTTCAAGCTACTGTAGTTTATTTGAAGCAAAAATGAAGATTCGGTTATTTTTCTAGACATTATCAAAACGTTTACAATTATTACTCGATCTAGAGACATAAGATACTATAACGGACCATTGTCTCGATCTTAATTAAGCTGACGAAAACTGTAAATTCTTGAGGCTCGACAACTGGTCTAGGTAACTACATTTTTCATATCACGAATGAATTCTCACCCCACTATGAAAACTTACATCTCGTTAAAGGGAAGAAATTACATAAATCCGTTCCTGCTCTATTAAATCTTAACGTATACTTAATTAAAGACTTTCTTTATGCCATCTTCTAAAATTGTCTTTAAATATTTTCTCGTTAGTTCAATCTTGTCTTTATTTGTTTATCAATACAAAAAAGTTATTGGTGCAAACATAATAAAAATGGTTTCAAGTACTGTCACGGTTCAATTATAAGCAAATAGGCCGTGTCTAAATCAAAGCAAAACATCACAAGCAATCAGGGAACTTCCAGAACTTTACCTTAAAACTAGAAGGAAAAGTTAAGAAAATAAACAATAAAGGGAAATACTCAGTATTTTAGTACAGTTGAAAATAACATGCCGCCGTATCTTTCCAGTGGTTTAACATGACACAAGGTGGCATAAAGTTTGAACGAATTATTTACACTTTACTGCGTTAATTGACAGCATTAATTTTCATGTCATTATGGTGAAAATAGGGGGGGATGGATGTTACAATAATATATTTGTCACACTATTTAATTGCTCTTGAAAATGGAAATCAAAAATATATCAGGATGAAATTACAGTTCTTATAGTAAGTACGACAAATTATAATAAAACTAAAGTCAAATAGGTACTTCTGTAGATTTAAAAATGTCTACGTGTTTTATACATAATAATTATTATGTTTTATTTTTTGCAAATATCATCAAAGAATGAGTGATGCGATCCATTGTAGAGCATCATCATGACATCCGACAAATATGTATAGTATCATATAATGTTTACTTGGCTACACACATATCGTTAGATTTTAATAGGCACTATAATATATCATCTGTGCATTTATGCATTGGTTTGCTGATGCCACTTGTTTACTTGTGCATCTGGCGTATCTATCATTGGTATAAAATATTATTACTGTAGATAACTGACAACATTTCCATTTGCTCTGCATAACAACAGATATATTTGTCGACTGATATAATTATCAGTTGACTTAGAAGTCTCAAGTGTCTAACCTCTCTTAAGTTTAAGATTTGATATTGCTCACCTCATTAGATAACGTTTATACGTGTGTTGTATTATTGTTAAACTCTAGAATAGTCGACGGTGCCGTATTGTCTCGTAGATATTAGTCGAAGACATGCTGGTGCAAAAACTGGCACATATTGATAGTCTTAGTTGACTTTTCAATAAATTTCCATTTTAAGCTAAATTACTAAAGCATAACATGTGTGAGTGGGCTTGTTGGGTTTACTCATACTTACTCATAAGGTCTTCATAAGCTGGCGAGACGCGATCTATTGCCTAAACAAAGGCTTTTGTTATATTATTGCGTAAGGAATCTGTTTGCCTGGCGATTGTTTGCAACGCGAATGAATCTTTGGCCTGTGCTATAAACTTTGACATGTACTCGTATGTGTGCTAGCACTCAAGAATGCACTAAAACGGCATCAAGGTTTATTCCTGCTGTGCAACATGCGAAACATAGTTCTAAGCCGTCAACTGATTCAGTTGACGAGTACTTACGACCGTGTGTCTAGCAAAGTCTTCATCTAGATAATGTAACATTAATACAGATGCATACATCCTATGACGGCTAACTGGGCCGGTGGTTCGCTCACTATTTAGTTTATTCCACGATGTGGCGTTACTTTGCGGAAATCCATAATGGAAAAGTTTCGCGAAGTTGATAACATTATATTTCACTGAATTGGATTAAAATATAGACCAAAACTAAAAGTTTTTTTTAATCCATCAAGAAATGGCTGAGAAATTACCTAATTATTTAACTTTTCGCGTAGAACTCAAACATAGGCGGTTGCTGAGGCTTTTTGTAAATGGCCAGGTATGTCAAAAAAAGGTTACAAAATAATTTTATAGCCTGACCAGGAACATAAAAACCCTCGCCATGTTGCGGAAAACTAATGGTACTAATTTCTTTTAATGGCAACAGTAACTGAAAACTTCATTGACATGTCACCTTGCATGTCAGTCTATTGCTGTCAAAGTGTAAACAAACTTTATTTTAAATGTACGCAACTGATTTTGTGAATTAAATTGCTAAAATCTTTTTATAGTCGTGAAAGAAAAGTGGTTCACAATGTGTTAAAGTATTTGACGAAGAGAAATACTAAGGGTTCGGACAATATTTTCATTGAATAATGTTTCCGACAAAGGTTGTCAAATTGACTGACATGTGTATCGTATAGTACAGTCCACTATGAAAATTAGCTGTGGTTTGTGTCAACTAACTATTTTAAAATTTTTTGTCACTTTCTAAGTGTTGAATTTTATGGGATTGGGAAAGAAGTACCGAGTCTGAAGCGTTCATGAGCAGACATTGCAGTTGAATATTCAAGTTCTGAATTTGATTATTGATGAATAATAAAATAAATCCTACTAGCTCGATTGATGGTTTCATTTAATTTATTTAAACCAGGTTACCTACAATAATATGTTTTCGTTAATTCATGAAAATATTAAATTAACCCGTAATCCTGAATCCTGATACATAAAGTTAGCCTATTAATTTAACACAGGTACGACTGTACTCAGTGTTGCACTATCAAATGCAATTGACGCGCCACTATGCCAGGGTTTTTATGTTCCTGGTCAGGCTATACAAAGAAAGAATCTTGAGTAACCCTGGCTGAAAAATTAAAAACACTAGAATTTTTAAAATTGAATCTGTCAACAGCACTGGTCCAGGGGTGATTCATTGTTTGTACTCCGAATGAGTACCGTGACGTCACCGATCAAAATATTTGTTATGCGCAACTTTGGGACCCTGTAACTTCTTTATGTGTAGATATATTTTCATGATTCTTTCACAATTAACTATTGGTTTTATTTATATTTTCAAGTTTTTCAATAGAAAAAAATTGCAAACTTCTCCATTAAGTACGTCGCCTTGAACTAACCGAGGTTATGAATGTTTTAATTTTACTATTAATACTATTTTTTCATATTATTATTATAAATACTAGTATTCTGACGTATTCCACTTTGAGGACCCGGCCAAACAGCACATGGCCTATTCCACTTAGAGCACCTGCTCAAAATATCGATAGGTGCTCTAAGTGGAATTGACCAGGTGCTGTTCGTGTAGGTGCTATTTGAGCGGGTGCTCAAAGTGGAATAGGTACGAAGATAATTTGTTGCAGTCCTGTCTTTTTTTTTTTTGTTATTTTGTAATTAGTCTAAGTAGATGCCTCTGGGTCCTAGCAAATGTGAGAGGAATTGCTAACGAATCACGACACAAGTCTAACCCCAAAGTTGGCGGAGGACGCTCAAATTGAGTTGTGCAGTGTGCATTTCAAGTCACGTCATACAATGTTTAATCATTCACATGCGCGTCGAGATCTGGATAAGGTTTCTAATGCTAAATTAAGTCTATGCCATTACACTAACAAATTCCTAAATCACTTATTAACAAACGGTATCCCTGAATGTGAAATTAAGAACCGCAAATAGGAAATGCGAACTACCTATGTCTACCAATTAATTTTATATCCAATCCTAAAAAAATGGTCCCTTGATAGTCATCGGCATTTGAACTTGAGTCTTCAGCTAAGCGTGTAGAGTTAGCGAACTTTTAAATTTTGCTCAATCTGTGACCTCGATTCTTATCTAAGAGATTAATAGAAGATACTTAATTAAGTTTTATTACATTCGTTATATTATACTCCACACATGAACATTTCAACGAAGTACGAGTAGCTACCCGAAGAAACACGTGCGACCAGCTCTCTCCTCTAATTCACCTTCCCCATAGTCTATCTGAGCTACGTACTGTGGGTGTCAGAAAGTATTGATTTATTTAGGGTGCCTTATTATTTCTTTAATTATAAGCCGATATTAGCGAGTGTCATGCCCGTTTTCACCATCAATCCCTAATAAATTATTAAGTGACCCCTATGGTAACACATAACAGGCATTTTGTTTTCATAAGGGTCATTTAAGGGTCTTTTAATTAGGGATTGATGGTGAAAACGGGCATCAGGCATGGGCCTGTTTTCACCATCAACCCTTACGAGGTTTAAGGGTACTTATGGAAGTACCCTTAAACCTCGACGCTATGTCAACTGTCAAGGCATAGCGATAGGAATCAGCCTAAATTGGTTGAATTTCAATAATTACACTTTGAATCTGTTCTGACTGGAGTATATTATACGGAACGTAAAAGTTAAAATAAATTATATTATAATGAAAAATATACCACACTCATAAGTAGCTATTACGTTGATTGCTTGATTGTTTTAAGTTAGCTAATGGGCACAACTACCTATAATACATATACCTTTTGTTTCACGCGTAAATTGAAATTTCGGGTACAGCTACTATTCCTTTGTCGTCTGAACTTCAAATTTTTATGCCAATCATTGACTTCTAACTTTACCAGCTTTGCAGTGTTATTTGAAGTATTGATCAAAATCGTTTTTTTAACATTGATGTTTTAATTGCAGTGTACGACCAACACCGTCTGGTTGGCGAATCGTGCTACCGTTTGATGACCAAGAACGGCCAGTTCATATACATGAAGACCAGGGGCCGTCTGGAAGTGGACCCCGCACATTCGAGGGCCGTCACTAGCTTTGTGTGCACCAACACAGTCGTCGACGAACATGAGGGAAAACATTTGATCAAAATGATGAAGAAGAAGTTTATGCTGATGGTCAATAACAACGAGGAGCCGCCGGCGGAGGAGGAAACTAAGGATGTAAGTATAAAACTTGTTAAGACAGCATATCTCGTATTATGTAAATTTGTTATATCGCCTAAGTACTACATTTTCGGTCGGTTCCGGTGGGACATACATACTATAAATTCAATAGTTTTGTAAGCCAAATAAAAAAAAAAAAAATAGCATATCAGACTTCAGATTTTTGTGACAAAATAACACCAATTACAAGTAAACACAAAATGCCCCAATGTTTAGGCGCTTGTTGCGTGTTCCAAACCATCAAATCTAGATCATTATAGAACATTTTGAATTAGAATATGCAAGTTTCAAGTCGTACTATTAAGGAAGCAATAAACGTATTGAGTATTGATGTCGGACTACCGAATCAAAAACCGAGGAACAAATATATAATAATAACAAATTAATGAGCATTTATAAACATTAACTTAACAAGTTTAGAAAATTGAAAAGCCTGATTCTGAAGAAAGTCAAAAGGAAATCTTAAAAAGTTTTACGACGTCTGGATAGTTTAGTCGCGTTTTTCATCCATTATACAAACATTGGGGGTTGCAAAACTTAACCGAATCCTGATATAGTCTGATACCTCAAAATTAAGTAGGTACCTACTTTAAATCCTATAAATTCACCTTCCGTCACAGAACAACATGAATATCGCTTATTAAATACTCACCGTACTTAGTACTGTTTCTTTTTATACTTAGGGACTGTGTAGCTTTCTATTACCTACTACGTGCTTCGACTTTATACGTATACTTCCATAGTAAGTGCTGTATCCCTAGAGGTGGACTGTAGGTAATTTTCCTTTGCTACATACATACAAGTAAGTATGTAGTATATAGGCGCGCGAAAACTGTCTGGTGTCTCGAAATGCCATCTATCCATGAGTCGGATCAACGTTACGTTATGTTAGTACGTTTGGAACCGGGTTCCATCGAAGTGCGGGGGCTATCAAACAGAGGTCGCTGATTTTCAAGGCTTTGGCACTCCATAAATACACCTGAGAGCAAATGACAGAGACCTCTGTTAGATTCGCATCACACAGCAATTAAGTGCGTGTTGCACCAACATGCAGTATGCATGGAATTACGACTGGCATAGATATGCTTATTTTGTTTTCCCCTTTCAAGTTTCAATATTGATTTCGTCCCGACACACCCGTGTCCAGCCAGACAGGTATCGGTGGGAGCTAGATTTTCTGTTAAATAGTATCTGAAAGTTTGAGTGTTAGTGCAAAATTGCTGCAGACGTCGGCGTGATTTGTGATTTGTTTTGTGAGTATCAATCTGTCCTGTCGTTCGGCCATGTATCAATATTTTCGGCGTGATGTCCTTTGGCGACATTTTGAATTTTCATCCTTTGTGATTCGGTGCGCGCTGTAGAATTTTCCGGTGAGTGAGGCGGTTGCTTTTGTTTTTACAGAGCCGGTGTTTGAGTATAGACAAAATATAGAATTATTTATTATTATATTGGTAGAGTTACTTAAATATACTTTTTGTAATTAATCTAAAATTATTAATTCAATTATTTTTAGCTATGTGAAGGCGAAACACGATAATATAGTCAGTCAGTCACGATAAAATAATAATTCTTTATAGTGGAAAAATCCCTTGATATTTCATGCCGCCCTAAGAAAATTTTCCGCCCTAAAGTGTATTGATCGCTTATGAAAATATCTCGGAAAAAAGGCTATGAGAATCGAGATACTTATTTAATATTTTTCCTAGTAAATAATTGATTTCGAAGTTTTAAAAGAGTCGCTGACTTGCCATTGCTCCAATGTTAGCTGCTTTCTTTGAGTTTAAATAAGGATGAAAAAGTAGGGATCGTATTGTGATAAAAATGTGTTGTTATTTTTTTAAATCTGCTATTTAGAGATGGACGTAGTTATTTCTTCATTATATTTTTAGTAAAAAAATGTTTTTTGTCGAATGCCATCCTGGGCGACATTTTATGATCATGCGTAGATGACACGCGCTGCAAAATTTTGCGTGTCCTTTGTGAAAACGAGTTCATATTTTCTTCTTGTTGATATCAAGTCATTCCTCCATTTAAGTTTAATGTTAATCCATTAAACATAGTACATAATTTGTTTCATCACTTTTCAGGGCAATGACCAAAGTCTGTCAGTAGAAGATCCACGACAACTGGAAAAGGTGATTTTGCACTTGGTGACCAACTTGCCGTCACCTCAATCGGAGGAAGACCTCCGCGGTGAGTCGCCCGACCGCTCCGTGCCCGCTTCAGCTCGTCTCGCCATCATCCCGCCAAAGAAGGAGAGGATCGTCAGTGCCATAGAAAAGATTTACAGTGTCATCAAGACCTTCCCTAGCGAGAGCAACTCTCTGAAGCTCAAAGAACTGGACAGCGGCGACTCGGCGTCCGCATCTAGTCAAGTCATGACTTACCGCAACCCATCAGCGTCCCACACGCCACAAATGAACCCCGAACCGGCACCGCAAGTGGTTTTTACTCCTCCGAAAGAGCCTAAATTGCCGAATTTCAACGACGTTTATCCGCGCCGTCACTCGGAGTCCACCGTGACGATGCAGGATTTGAATAAACTCCTGCCGCTCTCCGCTCTGCACAACAACGCGATGTCATTGGCGGATATGAGGGCTCACAACTTCACGTCGACGGCTACTTTGTCGGTGCAGACTGCCACCAACGAGCCGGGAGGTCATACGTTCAAATATCGGCTCTTTGTGCGTCCTAACAACCCCGCTTTCCAGACGTCGGTGATCGATCGCTGCGTGCTCCTGCAGGGGCCGGCGCCCCTAATCGCCGGGAACAAGCGCCCGAGGGAGTACACAGATCTGGATGCTCCCTACGCTCACACACAGCCAAAGAGGAGGTACATTGAGGTGCAGAAAGATGAGGACGCTCCCGTCGATGCTCCGTTGTTGGACTCGTTGCTCGATGAAGCTCGTAAGTATACTTTGAAGTATGCTATTGTAATGGTATTGTTATGTCAGTGCTGTGGTTGTTAACATTTTCTTTTATTTCCAGTGATTGCGTATCCTCAAATCGAGACGGTGATTAATTCGTTGGAGCAGAACATTGATCCAACATTTCCTGATTTACTGGTAAGAATTCTAGTCCTATTTACTTACTACTCATTATTTAATCATTATAATATTGTTTTAATTAAGTACTTTTGCGCTGAAGCGAATAATAATGCAGTGTTTGACTTGCACAGCGAATTGCAAAGCTATTGCAATTACATTTCTCTTTTTTGTGGAGGTTAAAAGTAACTTGAAGCAATTCATCCCGTTTTTAGTTCGTAGCGCGAGTTAAGAGTTACTTGTTTACAGGTTTCTCAAGAAGTAGAAGAGATTCTTCACGAAATCGAAGAAGGCTCTGGCAACGACAAGACGGACACTTAAATCATTTTAGAAATATACGAGTATAAAACGGTTCGAATTTTATTGGCACGTTTAATCGTATAATCTCTTTAGATACGTCGTGTCATTTTTCAATGGATCTCTTTAAAATGTTAAATGTAATCTTTCGGTACAGAACCAGTTTTACTTATTAATACTTATCCATGTTTAGTGTAGACCGAACAATGTAACTTGTTTTATTGGGTTTCAGTAGTGGAACTGTATAAATGTTAGAATTGTAAGTAGGTAGGTACTATCATGATATTGGCATTTTAGTACAACTTTTTGTTGTTGCTGATTTTGTATGATTGATCGGCGTTGGCTGAACTAGATGTCAATTTTAAAGCTCTATAACTAACTTCACTTATTTTAACAGTGTTTGAATAACACCTCAGCAGCAAACAACATTAGTAATCTAGCTCAGCAAGCGAGAGTTTGTATGCCATGTATGTTTCTTAATGTTTTTGATCTGTTAAGTTTTAATTTTGAACCCTTTCTTTAACTAATATTTTAACCATACCTAATGTCGCGACAAATAAGCAATCGGAGAGTGGGTGACTCAGTTATCAACCAAAACCTGTTGATGTTAATTATTAATTAGTTGATATTTTCTATGTGTATAATTATTTTTACTTTTCACTGTACATACTACCAAGGAAGGGCATCTTACATTTTACGTTCGAGACATACAGAATCTTAAATATAAGTTTATACATAACGATGTATGTTAATCAACTTAGTAATTTAAGGTGACAATGATAAATGTATCAATATCAATTGTTATTTAATTAGGAACAACTTCTTAGTAGAGTTGATATGTGTCCAGTATATTAAATGTATACCTTACTTAAGCTAACAAATTATTGACGTAACTTTTTATGCCAAAGAAATCATCTATCTACTATGTACCATTAACACCTACTTTGTTGGTGAATTCATTTCAGTACAAAAAAGTCACAGTACAAACTCTCTTTGACACAAAATTGTAATATCTTTAGTAGATCTGGTCAGAGTAGAATCAAAATTCAACACTTATTTATGTAATTTATACATAAGTTATTCTCTATACAAGCATTGCAAGTAAATATTACTTGCAGTGGTTATCTATTCTGTATCTTTAGGTATATTATAGCGTATATTGGTGTATATTAAATAATTATGTATTTAAAGGATGGTCTGCAAAAGGGTAAGGTAATGTAGTTCTAAGTTCTCACATAGTCAAGGCATATTCATCAGCCTTAAAGATAGTGTAGCTCCATCAACGCATCACTATTGATTGATTAGATGCTTGAACCATTACCTTTGATTGATTTATGAATGTATTGAGAGCTGTTGGTTATATCTGAATAACATACATTTCTTTATATGTGTCAAGTTAGAATAGATTTTTGGACCCTTATACCTGTATCTTGATAATTTGAGTATTTCATAGTGCGAGAATCGAGCTCAAGGTTTTGAAGTTAATTTTTTTAGAATTTCTTTAATCGTGTATCTCGTAAGACTGAGTATTTTTAGCACTTGGGTTTTTATATGTTAAATATATTTTAAGTATTTTTACTTAGTTTTAAAATTCAGCATTTTGTATAATAACCTTGGCACTTTCAAAGATTTTTGAGCCAATAATCGTACTGTAGTTCTACTTATACATACTCCCTTCTCTCTAGAATACATTGTATTCATGATTACATCGATTCTGATGCCATTTTTAGTAACGATTTAGCTTTATTTGCCATTGATAGTTATTTAAGTTATCCACGGCCCGCTTGGTGGTTCGTGAACACCCGACATCAGTGGCGGGTTTGAATCCTGCTGGGGACAAATGTGTGATGACCACGAGTATTTGTACCCGGAGTGTGGTATTCATTTTCAGCTGTTTAAGTGTATGTATCCACTATCTAGTCACCATAGTACAAGCTCTGCTTAGCTAGGTGATTGGTGTGATGTTGGAACATTTGTTTAATTATTTTCGTAATCATTTCGTGTAAGTTAATCTTCAATTAAATACCGAAATTCCTTATAATTTGTTTATCAATAGGGTACATGTCACCACTAGTCCACTGACTTTATTTTAAGAGCGATCAAAACGGAGTATACTTAGTCATTTTTTGTTAGTAAGTCTTGTACTTTTAAAATACGGCATTCTGGCAGTACAGTGATGTCATTTACCCTATTCCATGATTCAGCATAGGAGGAACTTTCCTATGTAGAAAAATAAAAACGGGGTGGAGCAAGAGAAATTATTACTTTATTTCTTACGGTTCCATTAAAATAAATGACTTTTCGAATGTAGAGTTGTACCACAGTATTTTATCTTCTGTGGTTGTACTTTGACGCTGGAATCTTAGAAAATATTAAAGGAACCGAAAGAAATTTACGTATTTTTTTTCTTACATCGGCCATTTCTGTATATTTCGTCCCTATTTTAAAGTTATTAGGTATTGTCAGAGTAGTGTTGTTTCCGAGTCAAGTCATATCAGTACGCCATGTTGAGAGAGTATATTTTATGGTAAATTCATGCAAAAATAAACTTGAGTTTTTTGTTACTTTTGTCTATGTCAGTTTAAAAACGGGAACAGTTTTTTTGCTATTAGCTAATCAAAAATAGTTCTTACAAGTAGTATTGAAGAAAATTTTAAAGTTCAATTAAATTTTTTAATAATCTTTTAGAATGTGATGGTTAAATAAAATTAATACAATAAATAACACGTACAATGACAAATATCCTGATCACTTCGTGAATTTAGATTTATATAATAATATGTTACTCAAAAACAAAATACTAATTAGTTTTATACCGCAGAGATTCTTTGTTTTACTTTGTTAATGATACAATTATGTCCATTGTTTTAGTTCATTCAGAAATAATTATATTACTGCCATGTCTTGTCTAAATTCTTGATGAATTTTATCGTAAAATATCTTTTGTTATTTCTATAAGTGTGCACAGAGACAACGGGTTCTTGATGAGAATACCATTTATTATTGAGATCGAATTAAATTTAAAAGAGTTAACGAAGAAAACAAAAAAACTATGTACATTGGGTATTATAATCAGTTACTTACAATATGTTCATGAATAATTTAGCATGGAAGACAATGTCTAAACATTTGTATCATAATTCTGAAATAAACCAAAAGCATTCATAATAAAAAAGTATGCATGACTGTAATCAATGATGTATCGAAACAATTTATGAATTTTTCAATTGTAAAATTTTAGTATCTACTCTACTATCTACTATCATATTTGTGAAATGGCAATATTTTTTGAAAACCTTTACTATTTCGAAACTATTCTCCGCCTTCTGATCTTCAAGATACCTGACGAAATTACTTTCATAAAACTCTAAGATTATGGGTTTACATTCGTAATATTATATTAGATAATAAAGCTATGATTGTGCAACAAAACTATGTTTTATTTGTGAATGTTTTCCTTATTTTCAGACTGCGTAGAAAAAAGGTTAATAATAAATAAGGTTTTAATAATGTTTCTTACTTGTATTGGTCACTAGCTTTTTGCCCGTGTCTTACTTGACACTTACCGTTTTTGGTAAATTATTCAATTTAGTAATGTCATTGTTAATATAATGTACCGTTGAACAATAATACTATACAATTTCATCAAAATCCGTTCAGTAGTTTTTGCATGTAAAAGTTAACAAACATTAATTCATCCATCCAGACCTCACAAAATTTTACTTTTAGAATATTAGTAGAGAGTATAGAATTATCTTATGAGGAATAGAAATGGGTAGGAATAGGATATTAGGTATAATATTTTAGAAAAAGTAACCAAATGTTTGGTCTCGAAAAACTTTTTATATTTCTAAAAATAAGTCTCTTTCATGCGTTCTTGTTTTCTAGGCTCTATATTATGACCATAGAGGAGCTCTATGAGACCATCGTCATCGTCACTATAGCAGGTGTACCATGGCCATGGGGTTATACTTTTTAAGGAGTATAAGCAATGCTGTTTACGTGCTCGTCTCGTTTTATGAGCCAGATTTGCATGGTATTTGTCGAACATGCGATGTGATTAAAAAGACGTTTTGACGTTCCCATGTTCAAATCATTAACAGTACTCCACCCTAGGGTTATAGTCTTACTTTGTAACTCTGAGGGTTGCGGAGAGCATGCGATATGCGACCTTCAGTCGTTCCACTGTAAGAAGAAAAATGACGAGCCAAGCGAGCCCCAAATCTATCGTCCCCTCTGCTAAAGGTAGGTAAAGGTATTCTACGTAACCATAGGTGTGCATACGTACGAGTACATGTTGAGTAGGTAGTATAAAATTATATTCATTGATAGAACCAACCAAATGAGCTCAAACTAGTATTTAGTAAATGAGGATTCATGATCGCAATGAACCTTTGTGGGGGACTATACGGGACTAATCCCCGGCTCTCTTTCCCACCACCGCAACTCCTGTGTAGCAAGGATCTACGGCTGGTTTTAGTGTCACGCGGACTGTCAGTGCGGATCGCTCCGCAAAGCCGATTTGTATGAACTGCTAGGGAGCGAGCGGTTCCTCCGGACCGCATTACTCTAAAACGCTCCCTAGAAGTTCATACAGATTGGCCGTGCGGAGCGGGTCCGCACCGGACGGTCCGCGTGACACTAAAACTAGCCTAAGTACAAGACACAGCGTGTATCGTGTTGGACTGGTGCAAAACGTACGAATTTTGGCGACATCCCACTCGGGCGATAACGGAACGCCGCGGAGGTCTCACTGGGTATGTACCCCTCTTTTTCAGGATAAAGTTTCAGTGGGTATACTCCTCTTTCCCTTTTTTTTCAGGATAGAGCACGAGTTACCCTTTTTACGGCGCCGAGAGTTACACGTACCACCCTGTCCCCCGGCAGTGGAGTCGGTGGGCAAAGCATTTCTTCCACGTAAAAAAGAGCCAGTTATAATATGAGAAACGAAATAATTATTTCAATTATCTGAGAGATTATACAAAAAATATAACCCAAAGTTTTTTCGCAGTTTGCTGAATTTAGGGGAAGAAAGTTCTGAGCTCAAAGGGCGTTTGATTGCAGTCTGCTAAATGATATTATTAGGTACTAGTATACCAAATCATAAAAGTGCCAAAGACATGAAAAATTCTAAGTTGTTTGAAACTATAAATAATTTCATGATTTTATTATTACTTGTGTATGTTTTTCCTATAGACAAAAAAAGACGTAAATTCCTTAGAACTACCTTGGTACGATAATCATGTCTGCTACTAAATAAGGCATTAGGGCATGTAGTTAGATAGGCAGCATCAGCAATAATTACCAATTTAGAAAATAGATAAATATTTCAAATAGGTACGTCTACTGTTAAAAATTAAAAGTCTTGTAGCTCTAGAAAAATGCGCGCATGTCCTCAGATAAAGATACCTTCGTGAATCTTCCATTTGTATGTAGGTGTAAATCAATACAAAAATCCTTGTAGCCACCTTTGCCTACCCACGCGCCTGGAACATTCTAGAACCAGGTACTGCGGCAAATCCAGGGTTCGACGGGAATCGATACAGCCCACTGCATTTCACGCACAAAGGTCATCGCGCATGATAAGTGCACAGATCGATAGCGAGGTCAACATTCGGGTGCAACTACACTGCACACGAAACAATCATGGGTTATCTTATCTAATATGCACCTATACTAACACTTTACTTAGTTGGTTTATTCGGGACTCAATGACGTTTAACAAACAATGGTTTGAGGCAGGTCAGCATTCCACGACCTTAACCTACATTAACCGAGACGAAGGAGTTTGGAATTGGGGCAGACGGGACGAAGTTCATTCATACGCTCCTTACTTTATGCTGAGTCAGTATCAAAATATAACGAATAATTACATTCATTCAGCTAAATAATCTTTAAAAAATGTTTTCAATGTCATACATACAAGAAAGGACAATGACCAAAAATGTATGGAGTGTGGTCCAAATGTCCACCACTAACGAGACCTATGTAGTAAAATAGTATACTAAATACTGATTCATTATAACCAAACTGCAATCAAAAATATGCTGTCAGTAAAAAGTTATGACCGAATGAAAAGTCTGTTTTTTACCTTTTTATCCGAAAAATGTTCTTGATATCATTCTATCCATTGCACATTTTGGACTAATCTACGCATGTTAATTGTCATGTCGCATGTGGAGCGCTGTTATAGATGAATTTTATTAAATATTATACTAGCTGTGCCTACGACTTTGTACGCGTGAAAATAGTATGAATAATATTTCCCATTTTTACAACATTTGTCTTTACTGCTCTGCCCCTATTAGTTGTAGGGTGATGTTATTTATCCTAAAACCATCCTTAATAAATGGGCTATCCATAACAAAAAGAATTATTCAAATCGGACCAGTAGTTCCTGAGATTAGCGCGTAAACTACTACAATTTTTCAAACAGTCATAACTTTTTACTGACAGCTTATTTTTTTTTCGTCCCATACTGAAAGTTAATCTCTATTTAATGGACTATAAGCCAATATAGGTCTCATTAGTGGTGGACATTTGGACCACTTTTGGTCATTGTCCTTTGTAAATATAGAGTCGTTTTTGTCTTTTTATCAAATAATACAGGTTAAAATATGAAATTGCCGATTTTTCTTCAATATTAATTTGTTTAAAATTCCTTTGATACAAAATTAGCTATGTATAAAAGTTAATACTTAGCTATGTGTTTTAATTTTTTTTTTCATTAGAAAAAACAACATTAAAATATTAGAAAAATCTTCATAAACAGCTCGTCCTATTAAATGGTTTCTGTTTTAGTTATAAAAATGTTTTTTTACAGGTAGGTAGTTATCAATTTTCAAATATTTTTTATTATACATATCCTATAGCTTAATATTGTCTCAATTTATTCACCAAATTTCATAAAACTAAGACTTATAGTTCCTTAAAAAGTCGCAAAAATGATTGTGTATGGAAAAGTTAAACGACAATTTCATACTTTTAACACCTAATATTAATCAAGGTCCATCTACATAACATATGAAAAGTAATGGTAATAAAATAAAAATAGGTAATGAAAATAGCGATATGTTAAAGAAAAGCTTCAACAAAGTTTAGTACTCGTATTATTTAATTTATGTGAATGGGACAGAAAACAAAATCTAAGGATAATGTATTGGTGAGGACGAGGCTTTGCTTAAAATTTAATAGGTAACCTATAATTGCTATGTGTGAGTGTGATTTACAGCGCACATTGCAACTAGTAGAGCAGTCTGTTGAACCGGCGCCGCGATTGACGTAGGAGGGCTAGCTCGCAGTTTATCAGTCGCAGTTCTAGCGGGCAGTGATAACACGAGCTCAGTGATATCCCTTCATCACAGACAAAGCCTCCAAGCATCTCCTCATCAATGCAAGAGGTAAGCACTTAGGGGTTCACAATCAACTAGTACTTACATTAAACATGTTTCAAAGTGATAAAACATAACATATGCAAATAATTAGCCATTTTCCAATTCAGACTGAAAATTTTCCAGTATCGATTTCTTTGTCATCGAGAGTTTTCTTTATTAAGTACTTTCATTTGTCGTTAGCCCATCCAGAAAGTAAAGTCGCACTTGTTGCATCAAACATAGTGCGTCATCATAGGAACCTACATACATACTTGTACATAAACCTACTAGGTATAGTGATGATCTTCCTTAACTGCACCCGAATTTCTAATTCAAGGTCTAAAACTATTAAAGATTCGTTTATTGTTTTATTAGAAAACATATTTTAAAATAGATGTCGCAAATGACCTTCAATTTTGCGACTTTTATATGGAATATTACATTTCAAAGCCACATTTTCAATGACGTTGGCCAAATATGCGCCGTCCATTTGCATTTCGGCCTTTGTCCAATCAATAAGTTTTCATTGAAGAGTTAACATCCTAATAAAGGGTTCATCATTCCGATTGTTTTAACACTGGTTTACTAAGATGCAACAGCATAAAGGAATAAATAATAATCCAAGTGCTTATCGGGACACTTGTTGATTCCACTTAATCATTTCTTTATAGAGCCGTGATCATCTTCGAGTACCTACTTTAAGCAAGTTTTAGGATCTTGTTGCTTGACAAGTGTGCCTTCTGATAGTTAAACAAATCATCTAAAGTGGCCAATCCCAACCAA